TATTCTATTGAGATATTTTCAGTAGTACTACCACAAGACCTTTAACATTAATCGAGTAGTTCCCTCTTGTTTTCCTGAGTAGCAACGATCGGGAGAAATTTCAGAAAAGAATCCTTCGTGCTTCGCACTCCGGATTTTTATATATGAAACTATACCCTTTTGTTGCTACACAATAAAACAATCCAAACACTGCGCTCTAGTTAACCAGAATCCCAATAAAAAAAATTATGTATGAAATTTCCTCGTCTCAAATTTTCTTAGTTTTTTTCAGTCATCCATGATTTTCGTCCCTTCAAGACAATCGAAGAAAAAAACTTGGAAAAATCTAGCAGAAGAAATTCTGTGAGAAATTGATTTCTATCAATTTTTCATATAGAATATTTCCTATCGAACATGTCACTAGAAACGACAAAAATTATGAAAAATTCAATAGAAAATCAATGTAATTTTTTAGAGAATTTGTTCATGTGTGGATTGATATCAAGAGACTTGTTGATCTCATCCAACCAATTTCAGGCGAATGGAGGATACGAAATGAGCAATGAATATTCTCATCGTAAACGAACTAATGACGAAGTCAATGGCAATATACACCAAGCTAAGAAAAGAAAAGCGGGTCCACTTGCTCATGGAAATCAAATGGAAGACCAGTTTAAAAATGGGAATCTTTGGATCCTAAACCTGGCACCCTGTATGTTCTGGGAAGAAATTGCTACTGGGTACGACATTTCGAAAGATAAGACATATGATGAGAATCACGGAACTATAAAGGATTTTGAAAATCGTCAAATCGAAGATACTGACTTTATTAATGGTAATTTCCTCCAGACTCGTGTGAATTCAAATGATTCTTTTCGTGAGCAAAAAATTTTCAATCACAATCAATTCCATGAGATCCACGAGAACCTGTCCTCGAATAGTCGTCAGAATTCAAATGTAGTCGAAACAGATACGAACGGAAATCGAGAGGACCGCAGAATCATCACAGTAATTACCGTTTCAATGGAGTATAATCCAATTGGTGAAAATATCACACCAGATGCCTCTATTTCAACATCCATAGAGCGAGATATCAACAGTGGACTAAATCAAAAGGTATTGTCAGTTAGAGCCTTAGTAATCATTTTCGTATCTGAATTCATCTCTTTCCCGTTTTTCCTCTATTCCATTTTATAATCCACAATATTGCGATGAGATAACTTGATCACTGAAGAAAAGGTAATCATCATAGTTTAGTGGAAATATATAAAATACATATCAGGAATAAAAATGTTTGATAGAGTGAAAAACTACATTTCCATAATTTTTCTAGAGCCCTTATGCATAAAAAAAGTGAATGAAAAACCTTAGCAAGTTCATTAGAAAATTATATTGGATTTCTACTGGAATTTCTACAAAGTGTTCACGTTTTTCACTAAAATATTAGAAATTTAAAAAATCACAAAAAAATTTTGTGAAAAAATGGCGCCAAGTCGACGTGAATCTGATCGCCTCCAAGACAGAAACAAGGGACAATTACTGAATAGTTGAAATCACACAGTAGGCGAACTGATTATGATATAAACTTATTTTTAAAAAAACATGGAAATATTAAAAAATGCCAAGTTTATGCTGACAGCGTCAACTAGGACAATTTTCCGCAGTTTTAGTTCCGATTAGAAAATCGATTATTGTTAATAAAGGCTTTTGTCATTCCGGCTGTAAGACAGTATTTTACGGCTGCGTTGCTTTGCTTCGCATCCACGAAACGCTGACTACGCCTGTTATGACAAAAAATAGTGGGCGTCATACGGCCAAAAAAAATTTGTCGACCAGTATGATTGTTGCAAACCTCATCTTCGCTAGCAAAGTTTTTTTCGGCCTAATGACAAAATATACTGTTTCAAACCCCGTCCATAGAAAATTGATTCGGAAAAAAGTCAACTTGGCGCGCGGGGCTGTTCGATAATGAACATACTTCGTAGGAAGTGAATGATTGACAAAGCTAGAGTTGGCACGCTAATTGGCAAAACGCCAAAACTATTGAGATTTGATTCAGCTTATTATATCAACAATTGGATTCCGTATACCTGACGTGTACTTAACCTAATCACCAATGAATGTCAAATAGCATATCGGTATGAGGAGAGTGGGTACCCGTCAGTGTGATGGCGCGTTCATAAGCGACGCAGGGTGGCACACTCACATTCTTAGACACCGGCAAAGAGTGGGGGACGAAGATCATCAGTGAATAGTTTAAAATGAAATGTAGTGCTTATACATGATAAGATATCCGTAACGACTGAAGTAATTACGTAATTATCAATCGATGCATTCAATCAATAATCCACTTATGAATTTATGACTTGCTAAGGAAATGCTAAAATATACTTATAATTTTTTACGATGTTCCCGGAAATGTAATGATACTCAGTGAATTGAAGGGGAAAAATTAGGCACGCCAAGTTGACTTTTTTCCGAATCAATTTCCTATGGACGGGGTTTGAAACAGTATATTTTGTCATTAGGCCGAAAAAAACTTTTCTAGCGAAGATGAGGTTTGCAACAATCATATTGGTCGACAAATTTTTTTTGCCCGTATGACGCCCACTATTTTTTGTCATAACAGCCGTAGTCAGCGTTTCGTGGACGCGAAGCAAAGCAACGCAGCCGTAAAATACTTACTCCGTCTTACAGCCGCAATGACAAAAGCCTTTATTGACAATAATCGATTTTGTAATCGGAACTAAAACTGCGGAAAATTGTCCTAGTTGACGCTGTCAGCATAAACTTGGCATTTTTTAATATTTGCATGTTTTTTTAAAAATAAGATTATATCATAATCAGTTCATCTACTGTGTGATTTCAACTATTCAGTAATTGTCCCTTGTTTCTGTCTTGGAGGCGGTCAGATTCACGTCGACTTGGCGCCATTTTTTCACAAAATTTTTTTGTGATTTTTTAAATTTAATATTTATATGATTTTTTTAAAAATTGTGTGATTTCATCCTTGTAGTTATTGTCCCATGCTTCTGACTTGCGTTTAGATTAGCGTCGACTTGGCGCCATTTGTTCACAACATTTTTTTATGATTTTTTTTTTCTGTTAATAATTACCAAACAAATGATGCAATCAAAAGTATTGGTACCTGATTTGCGCCTCTCTGACATGTGTTAGGTCATCATAGTAATTTTCCTCAATGAAATATAATTTAAATATTCATGTTTTAGTTTTTATTCAGTCATTCAAGTTGATTATTGAAAAATATCACATAAAAAATTTCAATTTGGAGGTAATATTTTAATTCAAATATTAACACTCGATTCCAATTGTTAAAGGGTAATTCACAAATATTAGGTTATTTAGGTAATTAATTAAAGATTGAAATGCTCGAAGATTGAAGCACTGAAAATTTTTAATTGAAAGGATTAAATTTAGGTGCAATATTGAAATTAAATATTAACAATTGATTCCAATTTTAATTTAATTTTAAGTTTAATTAATTTATGATTAACATGTTCGCATTGTAACTATTGAAAAATTAACTGAACTAAAATTTTAAATTTGGTTGTTATATTGAAATCATTAAATTATTAACAATCGATTTCAATTGTTAAAGAGTAATTCACAAATATTAAATGGCTTGACGCTCTTTAATTGGCTTAGAAGCACGGGCTCCATCGTAGTTCATGCGCCACCACTACGGACCCGTGCGGATGAATTCCGTAAGCGCAGACAATTTCCTCCAACTTACTAGTTTTATTCCCTAGAACAGCCCACCCAAACAGCGCTAGGGAATAGTAACGCTCTCGAAGTAAAACCAGAGATTATAGGGGAGATTGCTAGGGCTTATGGAAAGGCTTGGGTGAGTGATTCATTGCGGCGGCTACGGAACTACGCCCAGAGAGTCCGTACGTGTAAGTAAAACAGGTTGCGAGCCCGTGAGTGTCGATAATTTTCAACTCCGTGCGTGTTGATAATGTTCAGCGCCCGTGAGTATGGATAAGACAGAGCGCGAGCCCGTGAGTGTCGATAATTCGAGGCGGTCGTGAGTGTCAGAAAGGTAGGGCACTCATCGAAATGACGATGACGTCCGAAAACGAACGAAAACATCCGATGTACCGGAGAGTGGGGGTATGATGGAGACACAACCGATGGACGGAATGAAAAAGCGAGTTAACGTTCATAAATACGCCATTTGTTTAAAAAATTGAGGAAAAATTGTCCCGAACATGTATACTCAAACGATTGAGAATCATCTGAAACGTGGAGATTCATTGGTCCCTCGGAACTTTTTTTTTTAACGATATCTTTTTTGTTAACAAATTCAAAAATGATTAAACAAATTCGGGAAAAATTGTCTCGCAAATGTATACTCCAACGATTGAGAATCGTCTGAAACGTGGAGATTTATTGGCCCCTCGGAACTTTTTTTTTTAAACGGCTCTATTTTTGTTAGCAAATTCAAAAATGATTAAACAAATTCAGGAAAAATTGTCTCGCAAATGTATACTCAAACGATTGGGAATCGTCTGAAACGTGGAGATTTATTGGCCCCTCGGAACTTTTTTTTTTTAACGATTTCTTTTTTGGTAACAAATTCAAAAATGATTAAACAAATTCGGGAAAAAATGGTCTCGCAAATATATATTCAAATCATTGGGAATCGCCTGAAACGTCGAGATTTATTTGTCCCTCGGAACTTTTTTTTTTAAACTGCTCTATTTTTGTTAACAAATTGAAAAATTACTAAACAAATACGGGAAAAATTGTCTCGCAAATGTATACTCAAACGATTGAGAATCGTCTGAAACATGGAGATTTATTGGCCCCTCGGAACATTTTTTTTTAAACGGCTCTATTTTTGTTAACAAATTGAAAAATGACTAAACAAATTCGGGAAAAATTGTCTCGCAAATGTATACTCTTATTGACTTGACTTATTGACTATAGACAGTCCTCGAGAGGAGGAGTGCACAATTAGCCTTGCGGCCATTTAGCGCTCTGCCTGGGGCAGCCGTCTAGTCGAGAGGTGTCAGCATCTGTGCCCCACGTGCGAATTCGTAGAGTCCCTTGAAGCCGTCCCTGTCGACGTAAAGATCTTTAAGGCAGGTGGTCTCAAAGATATCCAAACGGAGTTCATCAAGACCACTGCATTTTGTACTGAGATGGTGGGGTCCTTTTCCACCAAACCGCATCTCGGGCAAAGAGGGTCATCTCCCTTGCCGATTCTCGCCAGGTAGGCAGCTAACAGCCAGTGTCCCGTAATAAGCCCTAAAAGGGCTCGCAGCTTAACCCTGCTCAGGGACACGAGTTCGTCATCCAGTTTCCTGGAGGGTTCGCGGAGAAGGGATCTGGTGTGTCTGGCGCCCATCCTTGAGTTCCATCTCTCCACCACTCCCCTGTCGGCGCGCTTTTGGATTGTTTCGTTTATATAGTCTGAATGAACGCCAACGTGGTCTTCATCCCCCGGCTTCATTGTCTGATATCCTTGCTTGGCCAGCATATCGGCTTTTTCGTTGCCAAGTATGCCGGCGTGGCCTGGTATCCAGGACACCTTTAATTTGTTGCAGGTTGCAACTTTGTTCATCAACTCTATGCAGTCGTTTACCAACCTGGAGCCACTCTCGTGTTTAAGTAGGGCCCCTAGTGCCCACCTGCTATCCGAGTAGATGTGTATTACCTTGCCCTTGTCCTGCCTGGCCAGTATGATCCTGGCGCAGGCTCTCAAAGCAGCTAATTCTGTTTGAAGCGGGGTGGCGTGTGGGTCCAGTCCAAGGGCCTTCTCAACGGAGGGTCGATTGGACCACACTCCTGCTCCCGCTCCGCCGCACCTCTTGGAGCCGTCCGTGTACCAGACCAGCCCGTGAGGTGGCGACCATTTAGAGTGCACCCAGGCCTGTGTGTCCACAGTGCCTAGGTTGACTTTGAACCTCTTGTGAGGGTGCCATTCAGTTCTGCATGTGTCTCCCCCTTTGGACAGCGAGCCAAGGAGCACCCTGTCCTCCGTAAGGAGCGAAGCATGTCCCCTCTTGGCTTCACTCCAGGTGCCAGTTAGTTTCAGCCTGGCTGCTGTTGACAGCACCACATCTCTTATGATGAGGTGTGGCGGCTGCATGAAGAGTAGCGCCTCCAATGCTGAGGTGGGAGTCGTTCTAAGCGCCCCCGTAATTCCCAGCGGAGCAAGCCTCCCCAGTCTCTCCACCGTTTTCCTGTGGCAGGCCTTGTTCATGGCCGGCCACCAGGCAACAGCTGCATAGGTTAGTTGTGGGAGCATGATGGCTGTAGAGATCCATCTTACGACCGTGGGTCTTAGCCCCCACGTGCTTCCAAACATCCTTCTGCAGGCCCAGTATGTCCATATGACTTTGCTGGTTTGCATGTTGATGTGCTTTTTCCAGCTGAGTCTTCTGTCGATCCATAGACCCAGGTACTTTAGGTCCTCTGAGAAGCTCAGTACAGTGTTATAGATAGAGGGGGGTTTGACCACCAATTTCCTCTTGTCAGTGTAGAGCACCATCTCGGTCTTTCCGGGGTTAACCTTGAGGCCATTCGATGTGCACCATCGCTGTACGTGATCTAGTGCCTTTTGCATTTTAAAAGATAGCGTGCCGCCGTCCTTACTGGACACAAGCAGCGCTACGTCGTCTGCATACCCTATCGCCTCCACCCCTAGCTCTACCAGCCCAGCCAGGAGCCCGTTCACAACGAGGAGCCACAACAGGGGAGAGAGATAACCCCCCCCTGCGGGCAGCCCATTCCCGCGAGCGCCCTGACCGTGCTGTCGCCCAGGGAGGAGGAGACCGTTCTTGTTCGGAGCATAGCAGCTATCCATCTGATGATGGGCTGTTCGATGCCGAACGATGCTGCTGCTTTCTCCATGGTGCTGAAGAAAGTGTTGTCAAAAGCCCCCTCGATATCAATGAAGACACCGAGCGTGGCCTCTTTTCTTGCTTTAGCACCTTCGATCTTGCCCACCAGGCGGTGCAGGGCAGTCTCCGTTGACCTGCCGACCTGGTACGCGTGCTGAGAGAGGCTGATCGGATTGGTCCTCGGAGCTCCCATTTTGATGTGCCTGTCAACGAGCCTCTCCAATGTTTTCAAGAGGAAAGAGCTCAGACTGATAGGCCTGAAGGATTTGGCGTTGTCATAGCTGCACTTGCCCGGTTTGGGGATAAAAACAACTCTGACCTCCCGCCATTTATAGGGCACATGCCCAAGAGCAAGGCTTGCTCTTAGTGTTGGCAGCAGCCTCTGGAGGAGCTGCGGACCTCCCTTCTGTAAGAGCGCCGGATATATCCCGTCGGGGCCTGGGCTCTTATACATGTCGAAGGAGTCCACAGCCCATCTCAGGTCCTCCAACGTAATTATTTCTGAGGCTAGGCGCCAGTACGGGCCACCCCTCTCTGTTTGCTCCAGAACCGTCCCCGTGCGCGAGTCCCGCCTCGGTAAGTTAGAGTCCGGGAAGTGCACTTGGATCAGATGTTCGAGGATGTCGTTGGGCTGTGTGATGATCTCCCCGTTAGGGAGTATGATCTCCCCCAGCCCTTGCGTTGGTCCCCCTGAAAAGACCCTGCGAAGCCTGGCTACCTGTGGTAGGGCCTCCAGGTCATCACAGAATTCCTTCCAGGCGGTTTCCTTTGATTTTTGGTGAGTCTTTTGTACTCCCTCCGCGCATTTCTGTACTGAGTCCAGTCCTCACGGCTCTTTGTTCTGTAGGCATGGTTTCAGAGTCTCCTGGACAGCACTCTGAGTCAGTTCAGTTCACGGTTCCACCCTGCCACTTTTTTCCCCTGCCTGCTCGCCTTTATCGGGCATGCCTTATGGAAGGCGCCGATCAGGGCGTCGTGGATTGTGTCCACTTCATCCTCTAATCTGCGCACATTGCTGGGCCTCAACCGCCTTTCCCCCAACCTTGCCTCCAGCTCCTCTTTAAAAGAGGCCCAGTCGGTAGTCCTGGGGTTCCTGCGTGCGGGACCCTGCACCTTCCCGACTCTGCCTTCAATGCTGAATTTGATGCGTCTGTGATCGGATAGTGTGTCCTCCCGGTCCACCCTCTAGTCAACGCACCGTTTCGCTAGCCTCCTGTCACACAACGTAATGTCAATGACACATTGGCAGCGAGAAGTGACGAACGTGGGACTGGATCCCCTGTTTAGGATCCCCAGGTCCACGTCTGCCAGGTATTCCAAGAGGGATATGCCTCTGGCGTTGTTGTTCTCACTGCCCCAAACCACGTTCTGCGCGTTTGCGACGCAGCCCACGATGAGTGGCAGCCCTTTGCTTTTACAGTAGCGAACCAGCTTCCTCAGTTCCCCCGTGGGCGGCGGCAACGCCGAGTCAAACGGAAAGTAGGCAGAGCAGAAGACAATGTCTTCTTATTCGCCCTCCCCCCGCGGGCCCACCGTCGCCGCGACAAGGTCCCTGTGACAGAAGTTTACCATTCTCCTGGCATTACAAGCTCTTTTAACGGAGATGCAAGTCCTGGGTCCTGGTTCCCCCTGTGCGAAGAAAAGCTCATTGCCTCTGAGGTCAAGTCTTCTTACCATGCCCCCTGTCACCCAGGGTTCTTGGATGAGGCATATGTCTGTCTGCTCCACCACTAGGCTGCGACTCAAGAGAGCCGTCGCCGCTTTGCAGTGTTGCAGGTTTATCTGGGAGCATTGGACAAGGGTTGGAGCACTGACCACCCCCACCTTGGTATCCGCTCCCCGCCGTGTATGTCCAGAGGTCATCGAGGCTCCCTTATTTGGGGTTAAGGTTTCCCTCCGACCTACTGGGCGTGCCAGGGCCGCCCTTCTCCGGCCTGTCCCGGCCAGGGGTACCCGTCAGGGCCCACAAGAGGGTCGGTTGAGACCCTCCCGCAGCCCCCGACGGGTCCCCCCCCCCGCGACAGTGCAGGCCTTCATCCCTGTCCCTTGGGGCGCCCTCTTCTCTTCCCCAGTTGAGGGATTGGCGGGTTCGCCAAGGCTCTCGCCGGGTCCCCGCGTACATCCACCCAAGGGGTCGATGTTCCGCGTGTCGGGGGGACCACTGGATTTTGAAGGGTCTCAGCGGTCCCCTCGCTCCTACCCGTCCCCTTAGTGGCCCTTTGGTCGTGCGGGTCGACCGTTGGTCCCGCAGTCCTTGCGGGTGCTGGTTCCCGCTCCTCCGACTTTTTCCGGGGCTCGTAAAAACGAGCCCGTGTCAAGCCGTAGAACGGGCCCCAGCCTAATCCCTTGAGGACCTCAAGGGATCGGGGATCCACCCCCAGCACCAGGTTTAGGCAACCATTTTTGCCTTCGCAGCAGCCCCAGACCCTCCACCGCTCCGTGGTGAGGCCCGGATTCTGGTTTCCCAGGGATAAAGGCCGTTACGCGGACCAGTTTTGGGAGCGCATCCTTCTCCATTACAGTGAGGGAGGCCCCTTCCCAGGGCGCTCACTTGGGTACCGCGCCCTTCAGCCAGTCTTTCGACCAGCCGTCGGTACACGTCACCCAAAGCACGCCCTGGTCGTATCGGTGGCCCTCAAAACCTGGGGGATGCCCTTCGACATCACCCCCGAAGATGAGTTCCTCCAACTTCTCCTGGACGAGGTTGGCCTGTGCCTCAGTCAGGGATGGCTCAGGGTAGCCGCTTGGTATAATTGCTACCTTGCCGCCACCCCTCGCCGCCATCCCGAACGAGGTGGCTCCAAGGCCAGCCCTCACCCTTTGCTTTTTTCGGGTCGCAGCATCTTCCGGCGGAGTGGCTCCATCAGATCTGGGTCTTTTGGACCCATTTCCCCGTTCCTCTCCGCCTCTGGCTGTCGCCGATTTGGTGGGAGAGCACTGTTCCCGCAAGTCCTCTGTTGCCATTCTGGCCTTGCGGGCCCTGCGCTTCTCCGCACCTGTGCGACCTTTTTGTTTTTTTGGGTCTGTGGGTCCGCCTTTGGCGACTTCCTCCGTAAGAGGAGTCACCTTCAGCGTCTCCACTTCTATTACCGTGGTCTCCTGTGCCCCCGTCGGAGCATCAGAGACTGTGACGGCCTGGACGAGCTGTAAAGCCTCAGACGTTCCCTCTGTGAGGGCACTGTCCTTGGCGTTGGTGAAATTAATATTAATGGGAGGGTTCATATAGTTCCCACGAGTATCCTCGGAAGTAGAGGTCGGCCCCAGCAGAGCCGGGATGCTGGGGTAAGGCCTAAGTACGGTGGGGTGCGGCCTAGTGCCGCAACGGTCTCGTTTGCAACACTGTAACCCCAGTGCCATTCAGCCTTCGGCACGAATCACTTCCACCTTGGCTTGGCGAGTTGGTCTGCGGCGCGGCCTTCGGTTCCTTCCAGGTTTTTAGGCCCTTCTGTTCCCTTATAGCTCACACTAACCGTCAATTCGGCAGGGCAGGCGAGGGCCAGTCCCATAACTCTATGTTTCCAGCCCTTAACCTACCCCACTTCTCCTTCGGCCGTTCCTCTATCCGCCACCTGTGGACGCACCCGATTGGCGCTCAACCTTGTCCCTCTCGTCTCGTTTATAGAGCACGTTGAGGAACGTTCGAGAAATGTATACTCAAACGATTGAGAATCGTCTGACACGTGGAGATTTATTGGTCCCTCGGAACTTTTTTTTTTAAACGGCTCTATTTTTGTTAACAAATTGAAAAATGATTGAACAAATTCAGGAAAAATTGTCTCGCAAATGTATACTCAAACGATTGAGAATCGTCTGAAACATGGAGATTAATTAGTCCTTTGGAACTTTTTTTTTTAAACGATTTCTTTTTTGTTAACAAATTCAAAAATGATTAAACAAATTCGGGAAAAATTGTCTTGCAAATGTATACGCAAACGATTGAGAATCGTCTGATACGTGGAGATTTATTGGTCCCTCGGAACTTTTTTTTTAAACGGCTCTATTTTTGTTAACAAATTGAAAAATGATTGAACAAATTCAGGAAAAATTGTCTCGCAAATGTATACTCAAACGATTGAGAATCGTCTGAAACGTGGAGATTTATTGGTCCCTCGGCACTTTTTTTTTTAAACGGCTCTATTTTTGTTAACAAATTGAAAAATGACTAAACAAATTCAGGAAAAATTGTCTCGCAAATGTATACTCAAACGATTGAGAATCGTCTGAAACGTGGAGATTAATTAGTCCCTCGGAACTTTTTTTTTTTGTAAACGATTTCTTTTTTGTTAACAAATTCAAAAATGATTAAACAAATTCGGGAAAAATTGTCTCGCAAATGTATACTCAAACGATTGAGAATCGTCTGAAACGTGGAGATTTATTGGTCCCTCGGAACTTTTTTTTTAAACGGCTCTATTTCTGTTAACAAATTGAAAAATGACTAAACAAATTCGGGAAAAATTGTCTCGCAAATGTATACTCAAACGATTGAGAATCGTCTGAAACGTGGAAATTGATTGATCCTTCGGAACTTTTTTCTTTTTAACGATATCTTGTTTGTTGACACATTCAAAAATGATTAAACAAATTCGGGAAAAATAGAGGCGTTGGAAAAAAAAAGGTTCCGAGGGACCCATAAATCTCGACGTTTCAGGTGATTCCCAATCCTTTGAATATATATTTGCGAGACCATTTTTCCCGAATTTGTTTAAACTTTTTTCAATTTGTAAACAAAAAAAATATCGTTTAAAAAAAAAAAGTTCCGAGGGACCAATAAATCTCCACGTTTCAGACGATTCTCAATCGTTTGAGTATATATTCGTGAGACATTTTTTCCGCAATTCGTTCAACAATTTTTCGAATTTTTCAGAGTGAACTCTTTTTTCTTCCGTCCATCGGTTGTTTCTTGATCGTACCCCCACTACGCTTTATATCGAATGTTTTCGTACGTCACGGTTTCCTTGAATTATCGATACTCTCGGTTTCACGCTGTGCCGAATTATCTACACTCTGGTGCTCGCGCTCTGTCTTATCCATACTCACGGGCTCTGAACATTATCAACACGCACGGACTCTGAAAATTATCGACACTCACGGGCTCGCAACCTGTTTTACTTACAGGTACGGGCTCTCGATCTGCCTTACTTACAGGTACGAGCTCTGACCCTGTTGAAGGTTTTGTACAGGCGCTAGCAGTCTCCCCTATAATCTCTGATAAAACTCTTGAAAAAGGGAATTCGTATCCGTTGCTATGGAGTTATTTTTGTAATAATGTAATAAGTGAAAAAAGTAAAAATCTCATCAGAAAGATCAACCGCGATTTATCTAATGGATCTAAGGATACTTTTGCAAAATAGCGTGCGTTTAAAGGGGAAAAAAGCAATTAAAGTTTTTTTAAGGGGTTAAGGGCGAGTTGTTAGCTGTGATATAATACACGACAGCTCTCTGCCTGTGACGTCACCTCTGCCTGTGACGTCAACGTGGCAGATACGCTATCGCGTATCTTGATAAGAAATATTCCACAGAGGGAGTTAATGGAATTTTATTCTTTTATAGGGGCGATTTTCCCAATTATTAGTTCGGTACAATATCTTCAGAATTTAAGTTTTGTGACTTTTTCTATACGGTTTTAGCATCATAAAAGAGCCTATTTTTTTTTTAATTTTTAGAGGTGAATTTTGTACAAGGATAGTTTTTTCATTTTTCTTAGTTATTAAAGAATTTCAGTACCAGTGTACAGAAAAATTTCTGAAACTCAAGATTAATGTATTCGACTGACATTCCGCATTTTTTCGATTACGTTGTGTTTTAATCAGCTCAGACCATTAGTAACAGTCTAAAATTGAGAATAAAAATTAAATTTTCGTAGGATACTCTTTCTTTGATTAGACATTGGAGGCAATTTTTCTTTCACTATTTTGAAGATCACCTCTTTCACAGAACATGCGGAACAGGCAATTTCGGACTGTAATTCCTTCAATTAAAAGATTTTTTTTTTCAGAATTATTTCTTTTTAAATGCATAAATTCAACGAAACATATTGAAAAAAAAATCAAATAAAATTTCCGAGTTGCATGTCGATTTCGGCCCTCATTTTTTCCTCTTTCTTTCCCATTTTCCGGAAAAAAATGGAAAAAAATTTCAATACAAAATTTTCAAGTTTCAAGCTGTTTTTTTCATGTTTCATGGAAAATGTACTCTCTAACGTAGAGAAGTAAAAATTGTCTCTGATCTAAGGGGAAGGATGTAAGCTAAGCTATTACCCATGGTCTGATCCGATTAAAACCTTGCACAATTCGAAGAACGGAAAATTTTGGTCATAAATACAGATTCAAAAGTATAAAATTTTTCTTCCCTTCCTCTAATGTATGGAATTTCATGGAAAATTCATAAAAACCAAAAAACCACCTGTTCCATAAAATACAGTTCAAAATTATTCACAAAAAAATCGGCCTTTTTCCTATGTCACTTCAGAATGAGAAAGAAGACGGAAAAAAGAAATGAAAATCTGAAAACTTAGACCGACAAAATCATATAAAAAATATCTCAGTGGAATATATTCTATAGGGAAAATGTATTCACCAGAGCAAATCCATTAATTTCCTACATAAGAAATGAACTTCAAATTATCAAAAGAAAAGTAGAATCGAGTGAATCACAATGAGCGTAGCCGGATGTCTCTATGTTATTTTTTGGCAAAAAAAAATGTTTTTATGAATAAAAAACAACAGAATCTTTGATATCTTCTCTAAAAATTGAAATGAGATCTCTGGTTTCGCTCATTTTCTTTAATTTCAATTCTACTTTCCGAAGGAAAATAGGAAAGAAATTTGTCGAAGTTGAATTATTCTATGTAGATATATTCTACGAAATTCACGTCGCTCAATGGTTCTATGTTTTTTCAGTAATTTTTAATTTTCTTCCCAACAAGAAAATCGAACAAAAAACTTAGAAAATTCGAGTCGAAGAAATTCTATAGGAAATGGATTTCAATAGCCTTTCCTGTAGAATATTTCCTATCGTATATGAGAGAAGAAACGGCAAACTACTTATAGGAAATCGAATAGTATTCAAATAGAATTTCTTAATGAATTCACTAGAATTTTCTATTAATTTTTTTACGTGTTTTTTTTATTTTTAAGGAGTTTCATTTCAAAGAATCCCTGAGAAAACATCCCCGGAAAAAATATCCCGGAAAAAAAATCTCGGAAAAAATATCCCCGGAAAAAATATCCCCGGAAAAAATATCCCCGGAAAAAATATCCCCGGAAAAAATATCCCCGGAAAAAATATCCCCGGAAAAAATACCCCGGAAAAAATATCTCCGGAAAAATGATCGCCAAGAAAAATTCGAATTTAATTATTAATAATTATTTAATTCTTAATAATAAATATTTAAAATCCTAATTTTAATAATTTACAAAATAAATTTTAGAAAAAAATTTCTTCATTTATTATGACATATAAAAGGGTTAAGGGTTCGATTCCCCGTGAAATGAAAATCATCTTTTCTTTTCTCAAATTTTGATTTAATCTGTTATGTGGGGAGTGGGAGGGGGCTTCGCCTCCCCCCCCAGGCCGCCCCGCCGGGGCTTCGCCCCTGGACCCCACCGGGGCTCCGCCCCTCGACCCCGCCAGGGGCTGCGCCCCTGGACCCCCCTCTACGCCCCCTCACCTTTGAAAACATATGTACATAAAAAAAAGGGTGACAGAAATGAAATGTATGGTTGGGGGGATATTTTTTCCGGGGATATTTTTTCCGGGGATATTTTTTCCGAGGATATTTTTTCCGGGGATTTTTTTTCCGGGATATTTTTTCCGGGGATATTTTTTCCGCCACCCCATTTCAAAGATCTTACAAGAAAATCGAGAAACGATCAAGCATTCGAAAAAACTTAGGGCTTCTTATTGGAGACCACTTATCATGGAGGAAAACAATGAATGAAAAATCGTAACGAATTAGAAAATTCTATTGGGTTTCTCTTGAATTTGCTATGAGATTTTGCGGTTTCTATTGACAAGTTCGATGGAGAGTATTCTACAGGAAAAGACAATAGAAATCGATTCCCTAGAGAATATCTTTGGTTACAATATTCTAATTTTATTTCTGCCATTTTGATTTTGAAATTGATTTTTATTGACTTTTCATGAAGAATATTTTCTATCGAACATGTCAATAGAAATGACAAAAAAAAACTTTTGGAAAAATCAATAGAATTCCAATAGAATTTTGTAATGAATTCGCTAAAATTTTCCATTCATTTTTTAACGTGATCAGATGAACATTTCAAGCGTGATCGGATCGCAAGGGTTTTTCATTGGTTAAAACGGTATGACAAGTTCACACTATTGAAACAAGTGAACATCTTTGATGACCATTTCGATTTTTTTCCTCAATCCTGCAATAATTCTCCATTCACCTTTTTATAAATGGCAATTTTGATAAGGGAGACTTCAAAGAGGATTTAGTTTGTCTTTGTTGGAACTTTCCAAGCATTTCCAATAGAAAACAAAAGTTTGGAAACACCGAATTATCGAAATTAAAATGAGGCAGGAGTAATGTTCATTCGGAAAAAAGTGTTCACTCAGAGTTGTTAAGTAACCATGGAAAAGTTCTACTAATAATCTATGTTTTGCATACATTTCGGAATTCGTTACTATCCTTCGGAAAAAAAGGACGGTGACATTTGTAACGTGACATTTCTCCGGGGAATGGAAAATGCCCATTACCTTCGCCCTACTTCCCCTGAGCCTAATAAAACCTGCTAAAATTTAACCAAATGGGCGCTAGGTAATCTTTAACCGGAATTACCAAACCGAAAAATTCTGTAAACCGAAACTTAACTAACCTCGAAATTCATGGTATCGAAAATTGTACCTCAAACTCCTAAAGCTCTAACTCAAAAATATACCTTAAAATCAAAAAGGAAACGTGAAGGGAACGGAAAGGATAATTAGGCTTTTGGAGAAAGGTGACGGTCCTGGGGTCGCTCAGTATGCCAGTTGTGGAGAGAGGGGTGGATCGTAGATGACGGCAAGGTTACTGCAAAAATCGGGAGAAATATTAAAAAGAAAGGAAACGGGAGGCGAGAAATAAATTAATGCAATCAAACATTGTCCTTACGTGTTCCGCTATTAACCTAAAAATTCAGTACAAGAGTAATAAATGATAAACAATTGTATTATACCAATCTGCTTCCGAATCTCACTAGCCATGTTTAATTTCCTCTAAATATTACGTTCCAGCTAAAAATTGCCAAATCCAAATTTAATTCTCCTTTTCAGTTATCGCGAAATAGGTATTTTCTAACAAAAATCCAAATAAAACTTCAACTGCCTCCTTAAATCGCCACGAACATAAATTATTTAACAAATACCGAATATATCGCTGAATATCCCACACTAGCATCCAATAATCTCATCGGAATGCGGCTTCAAGGATTATCGATTGGCGATAATCCGAGGAATAACCGAAATATTATTTGCGCCCGGGGAATCGATAATTTCCCGGAATCGGACCCCTAGCGAGTGAGCGCAAGCGAGAGAGACGGCACTATGCCTCGCTGCTCGGTTAACAGCGAGGAGAAATACACAAAATAAATCTAATTTCACTTTAAATTCGATAACTCGGAATCTGCTCAGCAGATTCCGGAAAACCCTTGACCATCTGGTCCGGGATATCACTCCCCACACTCCCACAAAAGTTCACGCTTAAGGGCCCCTAATTAACCCCGTTAACGTAATTAATAACCACGCGGAAATTTAACGCGCGATTCCCCACCTGTTGCTCGTAGCCACTCGTTGGCGGCCTCGATTGCGCCACGAGGGAGAACCACGGGCCTTGTTCGTCGGCCGTGGACAAATTCACTCACAAGTCACATACAAAAACCCTCAAAAGCTAACAATTTACACCAATGACCTCCCAACCGCACTGGGGGATAATGCAGGCCGAGATTATTCGGAAAAACCCTCCACAGCCTCTTCAAAACCACCCAAAATTTGGGGGACACAACCGACGCCATTTCCAATGGTTCGGAAAATTCACTACCGCCAATAATGTATTGGGGAGCCGCCAAAAAGGGGAAAATCTTTAATTAAGGCCGTAAAAACTCACGGTAGATTTTCTCGCTGCCTTCCTCTTTCTCTTCAGGACCATCCTGGCTGCAGCTAATTGTCCTGGTGTTCTCGGGATGGTGCACTATCACGTCTCACTACTCACTATTCTTTTTCTCCCGTGTGGATGTTTCCGAGGTTAATGCGGAACTGATTTTCGGAGGTCAGTGTCGCGTTGCGCTGACCCCCTAATAACGCCTACCAATCGATCGGGTGTCGATTGGTGGATCCCTCTACCTTATTCTGGGTCAAGCCCTTCGCGGGAGAATTAATTCAAACTTGAATTAATTCTCATTACCAGAATTTTTTTTCTTTCCGCGGTATTTTTCTCTCGGTTAATTCTCCTGGATTCCTGGGGTTAGAAGACCTAAATCACTAACCTTAAACGTATTATATTGTCTCACTAACCCGTAATTTTACTCGATTAATTGGCAATCCGCCGAGGTAACGGCTGGATTTACCCCGCGCGGCCTTCCACCCGTAACTAATCCTAAAGTTTTGGCACTCCGTCGGGATGACGGTTGATTCTACCCCGGACGGCCTTCCACCCGTAACAGCCCTTGGCAATCCGTAGGGGTGCTTTTCGTGTCCCCCTGCGGCCTTCCACCCGTACCATCTAACCCTCGAGAACCCTTTTTCTTTGGGGCGCCGGCTTTTTGGGCCGGAACTAAAATAACCTAGAGCTTGCCCTAACCTTAACCCTAAAACCCCTAAACCACCCCGAAAGGGGAAATCCTAATTTTCCTGAACCTAAACTACGTCCCAATTGTCTCACTCTCTCTCGATTTCTTATTTTCTTGGGGATTCTAACGGGCATCCCCGATGCTCGTTACACATTGTTATAAATGGATAATTATATTCAAATTAAGTGAAAGAAGTTAAAAATATTTAATTTTACATTGGCGACCCTTCCGTGGAAGCAGAATGACTTTGTTTGTGAACACTATATTTCGCAGAACAAATAAATTTGTAAATTTTGATTAATGGAAAAACTAAAGAGAAATTAAATTGTAACTTACAGCAATTGTGGATGACAATGGTAATCACACTGGTTCGCACGAGATGCCGAATAATCCTACGGAACCACTGACACGTATCACAAAAACGAATGACAATCGTCAAAACCATCAGGTGAGTATCTACGAGGAACATATCCGTAAAATTCTTCATTCCATATCAATTGGTACATTCTGATCGATTTGTTAATGTTATTGATGTAACTGTTTCCCGTTAGGAGAACTTGGCCCCAGGCTATCATAATAATAGTTGTCATTCGGAAAATCTTCCTGAGCATATCAAAGCTATTAAAACTGGTACCACAGAGGGGAGATCATTAGAAGAATTTTCACATCACGTAGGGAAATGTAGAGATGCATCCATCGTCATAAATGCAGGACAGGAATATTGGAATCTTAAGTACGTGGGAGACATTAATTCTGAAGAGCTAAGCTCCATCGGTGCGAATCGCTAGTCGTCTGAAGATCATATGAAACATTTCGATGTTAGTGGTGATTCAGGTTCGTCTTCTGAAACTAACAGTGAGGATGCCATAGAAAATACCTCTGCTCGTCATGATTCAAAACACGTTGAGCATAATCCCTTTGTTGACCGAATGGAGTTGGAGCTAGTGATTAATTCAAAACCCGAAGAGTTTCCCCAAGTGTATACGGAAGACGAGTATCAGAATAAGGGATGCCATGCAGCAACTGCCAGTACTAATGACGATTCTATGAAAACATGTGAAAATTCTAAACCTTCGAAGAAATTTCTCCAAAACAATGATACGGATGAGCCTGCTGGAGTGGGAATATCCGTCAAAAAACAACTAGCTACATATGTGGAAACTTCAGCAAACCTATTGGTAGTTTAGTATACTTTGTAATTGACATGACGCGATTGATTCTGAAATTCAATATGATATGTAAATATGCCTTAATACTTTTACCAACTTATTGTAACCATTAAAACTCTACCCATTATGGTGTCGACTTTAAACGGAGTTTGTCTGATTATTTGTCCCGCTCCAAAATTATCCACTGACATCAAAACCCCGATGAGATTGCGCTGATTCTTGCTCGATTTAGAAAAATCTAAATCTCCAGACTGTCCAATTTCCAGTAGCTTGGAAAATCATACTGAAAGTGATCCACAAAACCAAGCAACGATGGGAAGTGGCCAGGACCCCGCTTCAGACGGAATCTCTGAGAAGCTATCTCCTACCGAGATATCATCACCCTCAGGACCGGATCAGATGTTTCAGATGGGAACATAAAACTGGTCTCCATTGGATAATGCCCAGAATATCATCGCTGACAAAACTATTGAGGAGGAATCATCAATCGACCTATCCAAACAAATTTACGAGTTAGACCTAAAAGACACTCATCCCCAAAGGAAAACTGGAGCGGGAATTTGTATCGTTCGCCGTGACTCTGAAGAACTAAGTGAAAATCAGATTATTCCAGCTGAAACTCTTGAGGAAGCTGATGCACCAGAAATTGCTGAGCCGAAATCAGTTGTTCCTGAACAACAGGTGACTCAGAAATTTGATAAAGAGGCTCTCAGCTTGAGTGAGGGCTTATTACTTGTCCTTGAACAATTACAAGATCCAGGGATCAGAGTGAGCGTAAACTTGAATACGTCCTTCGTAGTACCAGCAATGATCGTGTATCAATTCCTGTAGGTGCAAATGACTCCGATCCCACCGGTCTAAAGCAGATAAGTCGATATTGGTAAATCACCAAGGTGTTACTGCAGATGGAGGTGATGAAATATCATCCGTTGATGCGACGATTGCTATTACGATCGCAGATTCTGTAATAACATCACAGGATGCTGAAATGTCAAACAGAGTTCACCAGAAAAATGGTGACAACACTTCTCTTCTCCCTGAAGAACAGACTGTTTTGGAATCCGGTGAAGTTCTTTACGTCATGACAGAAAATCCATCACCTGTTCCTAAGCATTTTTAAAAGTCAGAATGTGGAGACGAAGATCACAGTACTTGTCAATCAGAAGCGGTTCTTAAGATCACCAGCACAAATTTGATCCAAATTTCTGGAAATCTGAATGATTCAGGTGATGGTAATCGTACAGAAAGTATTGAAACAGGTCCCGAAAAATCATCACCAATACGCTTGGAGGACAAGGTTATTCTAGGATCGAAACATTTGGGCGAAGGCTCCACTAACAAAGCTGCACATGGTGATCAGGACCAAGAATTAATCGGAGCATTTATTCAAAGCACCACTGAGGTTCCTGTAGGAATTCCCGAGAATTCTGAAGGTTTAGATTACAATGTTTTGGACATCAATACAGCAAAATTCAAGGAAAAGCAGTCTCTCCCTCTTCTACATCAACAAGATTCTTCAAAACTAGCTGTAATGCGTAAAATCGGGGATACAGACGATATTCAGGGAGATTTTTATAAGATCAAGCCGTTTCCTCAAAAGCTAGAAGTACCTGGGTCTATAACTACAACAAAAGGCAAAGTCGTTTATTCCGAAGACATCCTCAATAACTCACCGAATGATGAAAAGAACTCATCAGGAGTAATGACTGAGTGCGAGTTCATAGCACAAAGCATTGCAGAACTGCAGAAATTAGAAAAAGATGAACAAGAAATGCTCACTTGGAATGTTCCTGAGGGAGCAACCGAGAAATTGAACGAAGTAATGCATTTTGAGGAAGTTGATGATTAAATCAGAAACCAGTGTGATATGAAACGTTCATAGATATTATCTCCAACACCGTGCAGCAGTAAAATGATTGATGAAACCGACATTACTCTGCCTGGTAGCGAATGTCCATCTCCTCCAATACCACAAGTAGACTCCGATGATGATGAAGAGTGTGTCCCAATTCAATCAAGTACTCTAACCACAGAAGCAGATATTTCAACTGGTTCTACATCAGCAAGTGCGGAAAATACACGAAGTTGTTTTCAGGATTCGTCGTTCGACATAACGAAAACTGCGAAACGTGGGTGCGATAATTCCAATATGATAATTCAAACTTCTGATCTTCCAAAAAGTCATAAAAAATATTGTGGTTTTTATTGTCAGAAGCCGTACTCAAAAATAGCGAGACACCTGCTAGAAGTTCGTGTCAAAGAAGAAGAAGTCGCCAAAATAGTTGATTTGCCACCAGGTTGTGCCGAACGCCTCCAGCTTTTAACAATTTTAAGAAATCGAGGGAACTTCAACTTCAACACAGATGAAAACATCAACCGTGGTGAACTGCTGGTTTCTCGTCGGCTGCGCGCTTAATTTGAGAAGAAAGCCATAGATTATAAAACGTGTTCACATTGCTTGGCCACTCAAGTAGCTTCGAACATACGTCATCATGTAAGTAAATGCGTGAAGAACAAAGTGAAAGGTCAACGAGAAATTCAAATTCTTGGCAGAGCTGTCGAAAGTAGTTTACACAAGAAAGCGAGCGATAGTTTCAGAATCATGGTTTTTCCTGTATAAAGGGAAGATGATATTGTACGTCTCATTAGATATGATTGGCTCATCATTCTGTATGGCAACAAATTGTGCTTGAAATACACAGAACATTATCAACATGATATGATTCGAGCTCGCTTGCGACTGATAGGACGATTTTTGGTTGCTATCAAACATATCGTTCCTGCAATAACGGATTTAGCATCTGCGTATACCCCCACCAATTATGATAGCTCGATCGATGCAGTTCGTCAAGTGGCTCAATATGATACAATCACAAATATTTTCGGAATTCACACCGTTGCTGCAAACTTGGGAACTTACTTAACACAGATTGGAGAAATTTTAATCGTCGAATGTATAAAATGGGATGATGACTCGAAACTGAAAGAGGTGAAAAAGTCCATGAAAGTACACAAGGTTAAGTTCGGTGTGGTAATCAATAAAAGAGTCATGGAGAGCCAAGCACAGATGCAAAGACACAAAAAAATAATCCTTCCATTAACGGAACATATTCAAAAGTTTGCAACTTATTTGAACGTCAATTTGAATAAAAACCTCGAGCAATTGTCTAACGCTTATTCTTACGACGACTGGTTGGCCTTGGCTCAATTGACCATGGCATCAATTGTAGTTTATAATCGTCATCATACAGGAAAGATCAGCAACATATTGGTTGATGATTATCAGCTTGAATCCATTGATGAAGTATCCAACAAAGAGACTTTTAATAAACTCACAACCAGAGCTCAGAAAATTGCCAAAACTTATAGTCGATTTGTGATAAGGGGAAAGAAAAATCGAACCGTTCCTGTACTTCTCAAGCCAAAACTAGTTAAATCTATTGATCTATTGCTGAAGTATCGCGAAGCTACTGGAGTTCCGGAATCAAACCAGTTTCTTTTTGGTGAACCGAGTTTTGAAGAATACAGAATAAAAGTACTCAGTGCTTGTAATATTATGCGAAAATTTGCCAACGCCTGCGGAGCAAGCGATCCCCATTCGCTGCCGGTACCAACTTACGCAAGCATATTGCAACTATATGTATTCACTTGGACTTACCGGAGATTGCTGTCAATGATCTCTCTAGTTTCCTGGGACATAACTCCAGAATTCATCGTATTTTTTATCGCAAACCACAGGTGGGACGAGAAATTCTGCAGATTAGTCCACTATTAGAAGCGGCTCAAGGAAAAGAAGAATCGGACGATGAAAGTGAAACCGAAGCTAATGTGAAATTAAGAGACAAAAGTGAATCAGAATATGACGGTAAACAAGATGACAACGAAAAACACAAGGGAGTAAGATCACAAAAGGAAAAAGAGAGCGATAATGAATCTGACGATCCCAAAAAATCAAAAAGTTTCCCTTGCTATGCTGAGGGTGAAAATGGAAGTATGCTTAGAGATGATGTACATGAAAGGACAGGAGACGAAAGCACAGATGAATGATCAGATTCAATTGATATGTCAACTCTTTCTAATGATACTTCACCGCAAGTGAAATCCTTAAAGAGAAAACGTCATGTTTCAAAAGGTACATATTTATGTGCAAGAAAAGGACATGGAAATAACGGGAGAGCAATCAAGGCTAAACGACGTTGGAGATGAGAAAAAAATTGTAAGGAAAGAATTTACCGTGAATGTCGACAGTGGAAAACTACCATCTGATAAACAAATACAAGAAGTTAAAAAAAGATATCAGGCTCTTGACGGACGCACTGTGGCACAAATTAAAACCTGGATAAATAATCAAAATAAACTCGTGCCCAAAAGAGTAACAAAGGAATCGGTACCAAAAGCATTAAATATTAGGAGTGTGAGAAGAGTTAAAATTAATCTCTCTAACATGCTTAGAAATAAATAAACATTCTCAAGTACTGACATTTGAAGTTTGTAATGACGAGATGAGTTGTCGTTGAGAGTCGACACGTTAGTAGTGTAAGAACCACTACGTAAACCCCACCAATGCAGTGGTCAGAGCAGCGCGACTCTGACACGAGTGAACGATGGGGCGGGAGTAACTATGAATGTTGTGGGTGCGTCATAGTGGCTATCACACTGTGAAATAAAAACACAGAATTTCACTTATTAATTTTATATATTTTTCCCAAAGATAATAACCCACGAATGACATATCTTTCTTATGGACTACTTACATTTTTTATTCCACGACGTACAATTATAACCGCGGTCACTAAACAACTTTCCCTCGGGTCTACTAGCACGTTTATTCTTCATAAACTCATTGTGATATTCGTTCACTAGACGATCATTAGATATGAATCGATCAGCGAATGACGAATAGAACTTCTCAGGAGTAGCAAACATAGACATACAATGCAGAAAAAGTATACAGTATTGTCCACATACGCTTGATTCGTGATGCTGCAGATGCTGGAGATCCTTTCAGAGTCCTTTCAGAGCCCAGTCCTTTCAG